GGGTGTGGGGGTGTGTAGGGGTGTGGGGGTGTGGGCATGTGGTGTTGGCTGGGGAGGAGGCAGGCTCTGGCTAGCTCTCTTACCCCCATGGCTCCCGGGGAGCCAGCCTCTCTGAGCCTCAGCTGGGAAGTGGAGGGCAGACACCACCCCGAGGGAGGGAGCAGCGGAGCCTCAGGGAGGAGCGGGAGACCCGGCCTCCTTGTTGACTGCAGAGCCAGCCTCCACACCTGCTGCCCCGGGTGGTCACATGCCCTCCTGGGCCCTCGTCCTGCCCTCGCTGTTCCAGAGCTGCCCCTAACCTTCAGCAACAAGTCCAGCTCCTCTCCTGGTGACAGGTCATAGGCCTGGCCTGGCCACCACCTGGCTTAATCCCCTGCCCCTTCCCCAGGGGGAAGCCCCGCCTGGCAGCCTCTGGCCTCTCCCCAGCAGCCTTTCCCGTCTGGAAGTGCCATGCAGTGCACAGAGCCCTCCACGTGCTCAGCCCTCCAACAGTCTTGTGCGGTGGGTGGAACTGGGCGCCCATCTCCAGGTCCTGGACACAAAAGTCCTGTTCAGGTCTCGAACTCCCTGGAGAACAGCACAACTGTCCTTCAAAGTTCACACTAGGAAAGCCACGCATGCCCATTATGAGGATGTGCAAGGGACCCAAGGCTGTCCCTCCAGCTGGTTTAACCTGGAGTCTACAAGCTGACCGCAGCTAAGGACCACCAAAGAGGGCCCTTGTCCTTTGGCCTATTCTGTCCACAGAGGAGGAAACACAGAACAAAATCCCAAGAGCGAGAGGTTTCGTGTGTTCTGCAGGGTCGGAGGAAGCCTTGCAGGAGTGGGCGCCACCAGACCCCACACCTCACCACATGGCCTAGGGCTGCTTTCCTCCAATCTTTTCACAAACACAGTACTTTCTTCTAATTCCTCCCTGCACACTGGGGCCCTGACCCCTGGATTCTCTCAGAGGCTGCCCTTTCTGCCCTGGAATCCCACCTGCGTGTTCCAGAATAACACTTCTGGTCCTGGCAAGGGGGTCCATGAGCAAATCGAGCTTAGGTGTCTCTGGGCAGGCGTTAATGTGCTCCCTAAGGCACAGCTCTCCGGGTCCCCAGGTGCTAGCCAGCCCTGGGAATCTCTGATAAGGGTTTATGGCACCAGTGGTCCCATTTCCTCAGTGCACTGGATCTCGTTAAGAGGGGAACACGCTGTGGGGAGGAACACGCTGTGGGAAGTGCTTGTAGACCCAAGGTAAGCTTAGACCTGAAGCTTGACAAGGTGACACTCCGTCTAAGGCCAGGCGCACACAGCGCCCTACAGACGGTACCTGGCGGGTGGGGCAGCGTGGGGCACAGCTGCTCTGCAGTGAGCCGGGCACAACCACTCTGTGGGTCTGCCTTTGTGAAGGAGCTGGGGCTCCAAGCTGCCTTGTAAAGGGACTGATCAGTTCTGACATCCAGGGAAACTGCCGTTCCTGCTGCAGTGGTGACACCTTGTGGCTAAGGGTACACAAAGGGGACAGCCATTGCCTCCCACCTTCACTTGGTTGCTGCTGTGAGAAGTTCCCCTCCTGGAAGCCCTGGTCCCCCCAGACACCAATGTCGGGTTATCAAGGCCTGACTTTTCTGCCCATCCCCTGCCTCTGTGGCTTGTCCATGAGCTCCGGCTGCCACCGCTCACCCTGGGGGCTCAGGATCCTCCTGACCCACCCCTGCCCTTTACCACCTCCTTCCCTAAAGTATTCCAGCCTCCTTCCCTGATACTCCAATCCTCTTCCTTCCCGTAGGTGGAACTCAGCTGACCGGCATGGGCTACAAAGTGTGCTCAGAGGTCTCCCCTGGCTGAGCTCCTCCAGCCCTGCCCACAGCCTCCCAGGGAGGTGACCAGGCTCCTCCTGGTTTTGTTGTTTCTCAGATAAGGATAGCAAGGGCAGAGGGGCTGCAAGAGACTCGCAGCTACCAGAGGAGAAATCCTGGCTTCCTGGTTGCAGATCCCTGTTCCTTTCTCTGCTAGCTCGTTTCCACTGAGCGCCAAGTCAGAAGGGACCCATCTCTGATGTCGGACATTCTGTCTGCCAATGCAGGAGGTCGGAGGGGCCCTGCCAACATGGTGGGCTGCAGTGTTTTAAAAGGCAGAAGAGGTTTCGGACCGACACGCAGAGGAAGAAGATGGGGACAGGTTCCCGGCCCGCGGCAGGTGGGGTGGGAGACCCTCTCCTCAGGACCTCCACATCTGGCCCTGGTGGGGCCATTCACGGCCCTGCCTGTCCCCCAAGTCCCCATTCTGACCGAGGCAGGACAAAGCTGCTCCCTCCAACTCCTGCCTTGCTCTTAGACCCCCCAGGGATCACCTGAGAACTAAGCTTTGGCTCCTGGTCACAGAGAGGGAGAGGCAGAAGGGCTGGGACCCGGTGCCCTGGGAGGCTCCCAGAAGGTGCTGAGGCCCACGGCAGAGGCTGGCCTCCCTGAGGGACCCTTCAGGCCCTGCCATCCCTGTCTTCAGGAGGGTGCGGCCCTGGGTGAGCGGCGGGCAGCTGGTGCGCTCATGCAGGACTTTCCACACGGGCCGGCGCCAGGCGAAGGCAGTATAATATTTGTAGAACTCTTTTTCCCTCCTAGCTTCTCTCTGGACTTAAAGGTCAAATACCAGCTGCCCAGCACAGAGCTGGTCTCCTGGCAACAGTAGCAAACCTCCCGCCTCCTTCCTTGTGGCCCATGTGGTGAAACTGGGGGCAGGGCCATAAACGGGTGGTGACTTTGCAGAGGAGGGGTGGTGAGCCTGGGTGGACTGGGGTGGGATACAGATAGGAGGTGGGACGAGGACATTCCCCTCTTGGGTGGAGCCACAAGCTTAGGCTCAGGGCCTCAAATGGACACTTTAGGTCATAATTAAAATCCCACCAGTGCCTCTGCGCAGAGTGGCCATCAGTTTGTGCTTTCACAGGAGAAGAATAGGATGGGGAACGAGGAAACTGAGACAGCACTTATCACATGCTTCTGCTGAGTGCTTCTGCTAAGTGCTTCCCGTGAATCATTTTCATTTCTCACAAATACCTGCCAGGTAGGCCTTATGAGATACCAGTGCTTGAAGGGAAGGCCCCAGAATCACAAGCGCCCAGTGGAGGAGCAGTCCTCCAGGGCATCTGACTGGTCAGCCCTGCCTCCCGGCCGCCCTCGCCTCCCCCGCTGTCCCTCACCTGGCGGGACGAGTGGCCGCTCCTGGTTCTGGGGGTTGTAGCTCTTCCAGCTGTACTGCGGGGCCGGGGAGCCCTCTGCTGACTGGCAGGTCAGCTGGATGTTGTTCCCAATCACGGTCTCTCCCTCAATGCCGCAGTCGGGCTTGGAGGGTGGCACTGGGAAGGAGAAGGAGCACGTTGGATGGGGTGGGCCGCCACCTGCCTCCCCAACACACATCCACGCACAGACCACCGTGCTCGTTCCCAGGCCGAGGGATCTGCGCTCGGTGGTGAGATGGGACGCTGGGAGATCACTTCACTTCAAAGTATGGGCTCCCGCTGTCGCCCGCCGAGAGGCAGCACGGACGTGGCCAGCATGGTGTCCGGCAGGGGCACCCCGGCTCAGATCCTGTGCTCTCTACTTCAGAGTCACGGGATTTTGAAGGCAGCCCAATGTGGCCATCATAAAGATGGGGAACTGAGGCCCAGAGGGGACAGCTCTCAGGGGTGCTGGCCAGCTGGGATAGCCCCCAGTTCTCCCGACTGCAGACCCAGCGCCCACTGCATACCCCTCGCCACGTTGGGGAAATCCCACTCCCTCAGGTCCCCCACCTTCCTATCTGCAAAATCAGGGGCATCACACCTCTCCGTAGAGGGCCAGAGGCGATGCTTTTACATCTGTGAACTGCGTTACTGCCACTGCTTTTTAAATAACGCTTTAGACCTGCGGAAACAGGCAGTGGCCTGGACCTGGTGTTGGCCACCCCTCGGTCAAAGGCTCTCGAGAGCCCTTCAGCTCTGACCTCTCAGTGACGTTCTCTGGTTTTGCTTTGGCCCCTTCCCGCATTGTGCTCAGAAAACACATCACTGCCCTGGCTGGATGACAGGAGGGACCCTGGGCAGCCCCAGAGGTGTCCACTGAGACCAAAGGGACACAGGAGCAGGGATAAGAAAGGGGAGCCCCAGCAAAGAGGTTGCAAAACCACAGGTCACCAACAACCCACATCCTCAGCTCCCCACAGCCTCCCTGGGGCCTGGAGCCTTTCCCCCAGCGGCCTTCACAGGCCACGGTGTAGGGTGCGTCAGCAGGCCTGCCTTACTGGGCACTGTCATGCCGAAAGTGCTGGACACTGCACCAGGAAACCCCGGGGGTAAAGGACAAGCAGTCTCACTGCCTCCAGGCAGACAGCCAGGCCCCCTCACACATGGCTGGGACTCAAGGAGAGTGAGGATACAGGAGGCCGACAGTGGAGGTGGGTGGGCCAGAGGAGAGGCGGGGCTCCAGGCCAGGCCGACAGAAGGCTCTGTGTGCCAAGGCTGGAGCTTGCTGGAGGCCTCCGGCAGCAGCCTGAGGGTGGGGGAGAGCACATTCACACGCCCCCCTGGGATGGCTCACTTGCCGTTGAACAATGCCACCACTTCTGCCATCCATGTGCACAGTCACTGAGCATTGATTGTCATCCCAATCTGGGCCCCACCCGGAAGTTACGGGGAACAGCTGTCCAGGACACACCTTCCTGCCGTGGCCAGCAGCTGCAGTGCTCTCTGAAAACAGGTGTGTTGCTAGGTGTGTCCAACATCCCTAGCCGCCAGGGAGCCAGCCAGGCGTGAGGAGGAGGGACAACACATCAGACGCACTTGGTCATGGCTGCTCCCAGGAGGACAGTCCCTAAACCTAAGGGGCAGAGGGATCCAATCCAGTCCTCCTATATGCCAGCCCAGTTCCCCAGGATTGCAGCAGCACGAACCCAGGGAGGGTGCCACCCGAAGACCATGAACCAGCTGCCTTCTTGCCCACTTTGGGGATGAGAGGTCCCTGGGGGACAAGAGGAAGTGACATTTCCAAGGAATCAGGACAGGCCTGCTGCTTCTCTCTTGAGCTCCAGGCGGGTGCAGAACAGGGCTCTCTGCTGCCCGACCTTTCCCTCTTGTTCCCAGGCAGCCTTCACCAGGAGGCCCGGCCCTCAGGCCACAGGGGAGCTGGCAGGGGCACCAACACCTGGAGGAGCCCCAGGCGGCCAGAGTCCCACCAAGTCCCACCAAGTGTGGGGCTGCACCTAGAGCCCTGCTAGGCCAGGGAGCTCCGTGAGCCGCGACAAAGGGGAAGGGCAGCAACCAAGGCCAACTGCATCTCCAGAGGATTACAGGAGGAGGAGGGGTGGGGTGGGGGTGATGATGACGATTCTGGAGCATTCAAAGGCCCGCGTGATGGGGAAAGCCTGGAAATCACATCCTGAACTTCTCAGGAGCCCAACTTGAGATGATGGCAAGAAGGCAGCAGCCAGCCCCAGGAGGTGAGCTTTCCACAGCGCCCTGGCCTCTGCAGGCCGCCCCTGCCCTCATTGGGCTCCCACCAGAGGCAGGGCGACCTCCGCTGTGTGCCAGTTCTGCCTCCCGGGCCATCTGGAGCATCCCTGGGAGGCGGGACGCCTCGCCCCCGCTGCAGACGCCAGGGGGCGCCAGAGGCCGCGCGGGCGCTGCGCACCTGCTCCAAGATCCAGGGACCCACAACAGGCCACCGGGCTGCGGAAGAAAACTTCCAAGAATTGTTCTAGCATGCAGGACAACGTGATCTCTTTCTTTTTAAAAGCAAAACATTGATTTCACTGAGTGATGTGTTTCAGATTGAACTTGGGTCTTCACCCTCCGGCTGGCTCTTGACACGAGTGAAAGGACCTGGAGCTGTTTAAACTAGCCCCAACATACATATGTCTCCGTGTGTGCGCACTGGGGTTATGTGACAGCGTTGTCCCTGTGGGGCAAATGGCAACCGCCTTGATGTGCACCCTAGGAAACGGCTGAATAATCCTAGTCCATGACTGGGTGGGTCTATCTGTGTTGATCAGGAGAAATGTGCATGAAGAATAAAGGGGAATCAAGTTGCTCCTGCTTTGGAGCCTGAGGGAGCAGGAGGACCTGCTTGCCTGGCCCCCCGGCCCACAGAGGAGGGTGGAGTGGTCTTTGCAGCACTAGCTTGTGTGGCTGTGCAGTCTGGCTCCCTGAAACGCTTTCAGTCAAGCATCCCCTTATGCAGTTAGAAATAAAACACTGCCAGGTGCTGAGAAGGGGAAAGAAACAGAAAAGTGACCTTTTAAACAGGAAAAGTTTTGACGAGTCGCTGCCTCCTGGGGCAGGGCTGTTCCTCACAGTGGCCTACATGGCGCCCACGAGGTTTTTCCAATACTCGCTTTGAGAAGTTGCTTTCTTCCTCTCTGTCTCATCTGAAAACCGAGGATCCTGAAGTAGAGGATCTTTTGGGCCCTTCCAAAACCATCCATTCCAATAAGTCACTTGTCTCAGAACGTCTTCAAAAGTAGCGGAGGGGCTGAGGCTGGGGCTCAGCGGCAGAGCGCTTGCCTAGCGTGTGCGAGGCCCTGGGTTCCGTCCCCAGCACCGCAGAAAACAAACAGAACCCAAAGGTAGCGGAGCCTGACAGTGGTGTCTGCCGGGCGGGCGTGGGAGGGTGGTGTGGGGTCTCCCTCTGGGAGCTGCCCTAGGACAGGGGGAGGCACTACCTCAGTCACCACGGGCCCTGAGAGTCCCATACTGAGGCACAACAGGACTGGGGGCTTCCCTTTTCCTTCTCTTTCATGAGTTTGTCATGGAAAGGGAGGCGTTGGTGTGGGGAGAAGAGCTCCGGGTGGGAGGGCCACTCCAGACCCTCCTTCTCGGACCTCTGGAACAGTCTGCCGTGTGTGGACTCAGGCCGTCCTCATTCCAAAGGGGGAGTAGCGGGCCCTGCCCTGGGACAGACTGGCAAGCCACTGCTGCCTGTCGTCTCACCTGGGGAACCTACCACGGTACCACCTACCAAGTACCTGACCACCAAGTACCTAGCCTCATCACTGGGCAACTTGCTTACCTTACCACGGGTAAGTAACCACCAAGTACCCTGCCACCAAATACCCTCCTTATCACCAAGTACCTGACCACCAAGTACCTAGCCTCATCACTGGGCAACTTCCTTACCTTACCACGGGTAAGTAACCACCAAGTACCTTGCCACCAAATACCCTCCTTATCACCAAGTACCTGGCCACCAGGTGCTTTTACTGGCCCCAGCCTCTTCCCACCACCCAGGAGAGAGACGCAGCACTCACCCAGGACCATCAGGCGGACACGTGACTTGGAGGTGCCCACCATGTCGGACAGCAGCGAGACGGAGCACTCGTAGGTGCCGTTGTCCTCCATGGTCAGCTGGTCGATGGTGATGGAGGCGTCCGACTGCCCAACGTGGCTGGATATGTTGACGCGATTCTCATAAAGCTCGCCGAAGATGTAGCTTTGGGTCTTAAATGACCAGATGACCACTTTTTCCTGAGAGGAATAAGAAATGCCACCTGGTCCTCTCCCCCAAGGCCCTGACCTGGGCCTGTCCTTGGTGGCCCTGATTGGCTCCCCTGAGACCCAGAGGCCCAGACACGCAGCCCCTGGGACCAGAGCCAGCGCAGGTGCCCATTGGTGGAGCCTTCAGCTCCTGTCCCTCTGGGAGGTCTGGATTCGCCTTAAGTGGAAGGACTGGAACCTGGGAAAGGGCAGGGCAGTTCAGCCCCGGGCACTCGTGTGGCAGCCGGCTTTCTGGGATCCCTGGGGCCTCGCTGGCTGATCACCCGCCCCTTGTCCCCTCCCCTTCAGTCAGACGGCCCGTGCTGACGGAGCACCTGCCGCGTGCAACCACCCAGGGCTTCCAGCTCACTTTCTTTTCTGCTTTCTTTACTTCATTTTTATTTTTTTGATACTGAGGATTGAACCCAGGGGCACTCAACCCCTGAGCCACATCCCCAGCCCTTGTTATTTAGAGACAGGGTCTCACTGCGTGGCTTAGGGCCTTCCTAAGTGGCTGAGGCTGGCTTTGAACTCGGGACTCCTGCCTCACCACTGAGCTGCTGGGAGGACAGCGTGCAGCACAGGCCCAGCCCCCTGTACTTTCTTGACTCCTGGCTTTGGAAGTCATTTATGTGCTGATAACTTGATTGTTGGCCTAACAGCACATGGCGGAGCTGGTCCCGGACATTCCAGCCAGGCTGCTTGTCTTCTAACCCCAGTTCTGCCACTCACTGCTCGGGTGACCTTGAGCATGTGCTTGACCTCTCTGTGACCCCATTTCCTCTTGTGCCTGCCTCAGGGAGCTGCAGTGAAGGCACAGCAGGTAGCTCAGGCCAGGCAGCCAGGTGCAGGCGCAGGGTTTTGACGGCGGCCTCGGCCTTGCTGAGCCTCTGCTTGGCCCCTGGCACTCGGGGGTGGGTAACTCGGGGGCTCTTCCCCAAGAGTGATGGGCTGGCGGGCAGCCACACTTGGCAACCCCTAAGGCCAGCGCTGGGACTGCCCAAGACGGGCATCACTTCTAGGCGTGGAGCTCGGGGGCCTCCTAAGAGAGGGGCTAGGAATCCTGAAAAATAACAGAGAACTAGCCAGCGGAGGGCTGGGGCTGCTGTGCCGGGAGGAGCCAGTGGACGTCGGTGGTCAGTGTGAAGGAGCTGGAGGGAGGATGGCAGGGAGGGGGCGGGGGAGGCCAGGGGCCGCTGCTCCTTGGGCAGTGCCCGTCCCGCTTCGGCTGCGTCCCGGCAGTTGGTGTGTGTCAGCTCACACCCCACGCGGTGGATCTTAGGGTTCCAGCTGCATCCCCTGAGGCAGAGCGCACCCCGAGCTCAGGCCTCTTCCCAGGCCGCGTGGCTCAGGAAGCGGCAGAGCTGGGTTCTACCCGGGCACCTGGCTCTGGACCTGAGCCTGGAGCCCATGCTAAGCCAGCCCTGGGGGACGCCTGCGTGGGGCTGAAGAGCTTGCATCTTACCTGGAAGGCACTAGAGTCTCAGATTTTAGGAAGTGGGGTACAGAATGAATTGGAAGGGGAAAGGGGGTCCACCAAGAAAACAGTCCCACAACTCAGGTGGAGGGCGCTGACCAGGTCGGGGTGGTACACTCGGGTGGCAGGGTGGAGCGTGGAAGAGGCAGGCCCCAGGGTTGGAGAGGGTTGAGATCAGGGCGCGGCAGCCCTCCAGGGTCCGCGTCCTTTCCCAAAGAGGAAACGGGAGAAGGGGGTGCTGTCAGGAGAACGGCTGGTCCGTTTCCACAGGGGCTGCCTGGCGCGTCCCAGGATGACCCGGAAGAGCAGGCCAGCAGCAGCCGGGGCGGCGAGCACAGCTGGCTGAGGGCTTGGGGGCAGGGACAGGCAGGTGTTCTCCGACTCGCAGGCTAGATAAAGCCACCCAGTGAAGGAGTGCAGAAATGGCAAGCCTGGTGGTGTCACTCACAGGGACCAGGGGGCTTGGAGAGAGCCAGGGCGAGACCGCCCGGGTGCTGGGGGGCCTCTGGGTCCCAAAGGCTAATAGTGAAAACACGGGCGAGCTCAGTTGACTGTGGGGGTGAAAGCAGGCCACGGGGGCAGAGGAGCACGGGCAGACAGTGCCGAGGTGCGGGGGACCAGGGTGTGGAGCCGTGTAGATAGAACAGGGGGGAGGTGGGAACAGGTTTTCAATGGGGAGGGCCCCATCAAATGACCCGGCCTTAGAGTGAGGAGTGTGCTCAAAGAGAGGACTGACTCTACTGGAACCATCAGGTCATTCGAGACTGGCCAATGGAGAGATCTGAGGACAGGTGACTTCGAAAATGAAGCTGATGTACTCCAGCCGTCCTTCACCTGACACACCTGCTCCTGCCCGGCCCACCCCGCAGGTGCAGTTGATTCTGCGGATGGTATCAGAAGACCTTGTATCGTTGGCCTTCCGAGGGGTCACGGTCAGGTGATACCCATCCCCGTGATGCCCCGGCCTTTGGTGGAGCCTTACCGAATGAGTCCTGAGAAGCTTGTCCCACTGAACAAGTCCATCTCTGTCAGGGACAGAAGTGTGGTAGGTGCACGGAAGGGTGGCACTCTTTCCCCTGGCAGCCCGAAGAATTTCCTGCGGGGTTTCCACGGAGATGGCATTGACGGTCACCCAGACTGGAAAGAAAGCAGGAAAGCCATGCAAAGGTGATGACGTGGACGTCACCATGCACGGCATGGGACCTCTGCCAGAATGCCCAGCCCCCCTGTCCCGATAGCCACGGGAACGGCTGCCACAACAGCAATGGTGGCCAAGGACCTCCGCTGCCCTCCAGGGCAGGGAGGCCAGCGCCTGTGCCTGGTCCGTGCATCTCCACCCCGCAGCATCACAAAAAGGCCTGGTGCATCCGGTGGCCCAGCCTGGCTGCCCCCTCAGCCCCACCTCCTCCCATCTCCGCAGATTTTCTAAGCCTCATTTTCTCATCAGTAAAATAGGAGTCTTCGTTATGACTTCCCAGAGCTGTTGGGGAAATGAGAAAAGAGACCGTGCATCCATGTTTCCTGGTGCCTGGTCACAGGAGACCTCGACACACATTGCTGGCCTCCCATGGGACTTCTACTAACTGATGTGTGTGGTGAGAGTAAAGGGATGTGCCTTCCAATTCCATCTCTGCTGGTCAGGATCCAGCCAGCAGCCAGAGGGGGAACACAGGACCACACTGCCAGGGCTCTCCGCTCGTCACTCCCGCGCCAGCTTCACCATAGCTTGGCAGCTCAGCCCCCTGTAGGCATCTTGCAGTTCTCTCATGTATTCTCCCGGTTTCCTTGACAGTAGAGACTTGTTACCCCTGCCACAGGGTCAGGGACGTCAGGCCATGTGCTCTGCTTAGCAGCTGACCCAGCCACGGCAGCCAGCACCTGGCCAGCAGGCAGCATGGCCATCTGACAGGCAGCCCCAGAGGGCGGGACCACAGGATCCACCTCCTGTCCCAGAACTTCACCTGCCTTCTTCCGTCCCCCTTGAATAGTTAATATGTGCCTACGGTGGGGACGAGGCCCCTGCTCTGCCCACCACGTGGTCATCTCCCAGGGGCACAGTCTGTGGACATGAAATGGGCTCACACGTAGGATTGATTCCATGACCAAACTCCAAGGACGACTCTTGCTGGCAGGAGGGAAACCAAGAAGCAGCTGGGAACTTCGGGGCAGCAGCGTCCACCGCTGGTCTGGACCCCTCGGCTCTCGGGCTTCACACACATGGCAGAGGTGTCACCTCCAGGACACGAAGGGCTGAGGCAGCGAGCCTCGCCTCCCCAGGCAGCCACCCTGTCCCCCCCGCCCTCCCTCTTCTGACTCGGAAGCGCCCTTTGACCTTGTATCCCCTGGTCTGCGCCCCACCGCGCTTATCACACCCCCCTCCACGGCCACTGGGAAGTCGCGGCAGAGAGCTGAGTGCAGGGCTTCTGGGTCAGGGCCTCCGCAGGGCTCCAGACCCTTCTCTGTTCAAGGCACGACCTTGGGCAGTCGACTTAGCTCTCGTGCCACAGGGTCCTCACTTGGGGGTGGATGGAATGGGATTAAGTGACATGAAACGCAGACTTCCTTTAGGGGTTCCTAACTCAAAATTGGCGCTCAGCAAATGCGAGCTGCTACTCCACAGCACACACCTCTCCTTCCCGGCTGTGGGCTGCTGCCGCGGTGCCCCTGGGTAGGAGTTGATCCCAGAAGACAACCACCCACCGCAGTCCCAGGTGAGCTCTCAAAGGACTGGCGATTGCTGATGATTTAACCAGAGAACAGATCAGTCTTAGAAATCAGACAACAGTGAGTTAGATCCTTTTATGCTAATAGATTTGCGAGGGAAGACGGGAATGGAGGAGAAAGAGCTGGAAAAGGAAAAGGGCGGCAGGTAGACTGTAAACCTGAGAAGGGTGTTAGAGGACTGGTCCCAGCCCTGGGGCTCACTCCCGCTCCCCTCTGCCGCAGACAGGCTATCTGCCTGGTGGAACCTCAGCCCTCCCGGGCTCAGACACTGCCCTTGCTCCAAGGTCACGGTGACACATTCTCCACGACCCTCACCTGTTCCTTTCACTCCTTCCCACAGGCCTCAGGACCACTGTCCCTCACTTTCTCTTCTGTGGGACATTTGGGTCCCCACTCGGATATGCCAAAGTCACCAGGAGAGACAGGTGATCCATGACTGGAAAACTGGGAAGGGGGGAGATTCCTTTCTAGAAGCTTCCAACTGCCCCCTTTCTGCTTCCTGGTGGGGGCACCTTCCCGCTGCCCAGAGCCGTCTCCCCGACCCCGTCTGGTGCTGCTCCACCTGCGCCCCTCCTGCTCAGAAGTCTCCTTCCTGCTCTGGGTCCCCTCTCTCCTTCCTTCCCAGGCTGAGCCAAGTTGGTAGGTGCTAATGACCATCTTGTCCCCCCAGGGCAGGCGGCCGGCCGAGCAGGGCCTGAGCTCCTCCTGCTGCAGGGCTTGGTGGGGGACTGGCCAGCAGCCTCCTCCAGGAGGCTCCTCACTCTCCCGCGGATCCTCCTCCTGTTCCTGGCTGTGTCGCTCCTCAGCCTCATTCACTTCTCTGTGCGCAGTTTCCTCAACAGTAAGGTAGGAGACCACGCCTCTCACCCAGGGCTGCTGCAGGGCAGGGCTGCAGCTGGGCGGCAGAGCACCTGCCTGGCACCAGCCAGGACCAGGCCTGGGTTCCCTCCCAGCGCTGGGAAAGGAAAGATGGAGGGCACCGGGACTGAGCGGCTGTTTATCCCGGCCCAGCTCTGCTCTCCAGCTGTCACCCTGCAACTGTGCCTCACCCGGCTCAGCCCAGGCTGGGCATGCAGGGGGGGCTGCAGCAATGCCCTGGGCACATAGAGGGAGCTGCAGCAATGCCCTGGGCACACGGGGGGTGGGGGCTGCAGCAATGCCCTAGGCACACAGGAGGGGCTGCAGCAATGCCCTGGGCACGCAGGGGGGCTGAAGCAATGCCCTGGGCAGCCTAGGAAGGAGCCACAGGGAACTAGGCTGAGGGAGCTTGGAGCTCGCCTCCAAAAACGAAGATCCCAAGGACTCCTGGGTCGTGGAGTGTGCCAGGTGCCCCAGACAGAACAAGAGTCACCTAACCACCTGAGGAGGCAGGGAGTGGAGGTCTAGCTTGAGGCCTCCATGGTGGCTTGCAAATAATGAAGGTTTGTTAAGAAGATAGTAAACTGTCTCTTGAGACCAAGCAGAAAGGAGTACCTCGAAGGAGGATAATGAAATGCTCGACAGACTGCTGCTGAGGCCTCCACAGTGCATTAGGGGGCCCTGGGGGAACGGCCAACAGGGCCTCCATCAGGAAGACCCATTTGTTCAGAGAAACCACTTCCTCGGCTGGGAAGGAGATGCCAGGGGCCAGGTGGGACCAGCGGCCCCAGGTGAGATGCAGGCTCTGGCTAAGAAGAGCTCCCCAGGGAGAAGCAGGCAGGTGTTCTGCATCCCAGGTTGGAAGTCCCCAGGGGCTCCCAAGCCGGCAGCAAGGGACAGTGAGAGGGTCAGGGACTGGCGGCTTGAACAAGCCCATTGAGATGTTGATCGACATGGATCCTTAGGATCCACAAATTAGATCAATTCAGTGAATTTCTTCCTAGGTTCTGGCTTTGGCCCCCGCCCAGAAAGCCCTCAGGACCACTCGGCCCTCACTGCAGCCCACCCTTCTGAACTGCGTCAGGCCACGCTCATCGCCCGTGGGTGTGACTCTCATGCCATGTGGGTCTGCGTGTACAGGTGGCATGTCCCTCTGTGCCAGCTCCGTGCCCCAGACTTCTCTTGAGCCCCCCACTTGCTGGCTCAACCCCAAGTTGTCTAGAGCTGGGGGCAAATTAGTCCTGGTGAGTAAGTGACCTGGGCACAGTCCCTGCCTGGGAAGCAGCCAGAGGTCACCATCAGCAGCAGCCTAACCAACGGCTCCCCATGAGTGTGAAGGGGGAAGAGTCCAACATAAGGCTCCCTAGAGCTGGGCCTTGGCCTGGCCCTGGGCTCAGTGCACTGTGTCAAACTGGTGTAGATGAGGAGTGAATCAGGCTGCAGAGCCATCCATACAACACCACCAACTCCCATGGAACAAACCCAGGGTTAGTGCCAGTCATCCTTGGGTTGGGGACCGCGGCACCCTGGGTCTCTTTCTGGAGTACTTTACTCCCCACACGCTCCTCACAGTACTCTGGTGGCCTCGACACCAAGCAGGAGGTGAAGACCAGGACACCTGGGGGCCGCCTTGGTGTCAAGAAGCTCGTGACCCGGAAGGTGACAAAGCTGAAACCAGGCGCCTGTGAAGGGCCTTGAAGGTCCTTAAGTCCCCAAACTAAGATGGAGAGCCTTGGGTGGCCCGAGGTTCCCGGGAAGGCGCTCCCAGCAAGGACAAGACTGGGAATGGGGAAGAGCCAGAGGAGCAGGCCTCATGGGGAGGACCAGCCTGGCCCTGGGAGGAGGTGGCCCGTCCATCCCACACGCCCCTCTCCCAGGGAACTTGTGACGGTCCCAACCAGGAGCGGCAGTCTGGGGCAGGGCTGTGCTCGCCAGGAGTTTCTGGCCCCTGACTCCC